AGTGATACAGCCTCTGGCAAAAACTGACTCTCCCACCCAGGATCTGAGAAGGCTTTCCTGAAGCTGTAAGGCCCGAGTCGCCTTTTTAAAAAGAGAAAAAAAGAACGTCTCATTCAGTAGTCCTGTAATATTCCAGATTGTGGATTCCGCCCCTTAACCTTCTGGAAGAGGAGGACTCTGAGTACCTAGACTTAGCATCTATGTGTCCTCATCGGCTCTCAAGAAATCATTTAAAGACAAGCTCTTGGAATAAGGTGGTTACATCATCCAGAAATGTACCGGAATCGGGTTAAGCCGTGTTTTTTCCAATTTTTTGAATTTCCAGACTCTAACTTCCTGCAATGCTTGACTGCATGGGGAATCCCGGACTTTTGCAAAATCAGCTCCTTAGTTAAAATATCACTCAACCCATTCTCCTCCAAACCTCACCTATATTTCCAGCCTTGTGATTTTTTTTCCCTCTCATTGTTATCAGCTTGCGGGGACTATTTTGGGCTGTGCTGTTTTCGCATAACATTATTCCATCTACACCTCTCGGCGATACGTTTGCCATTTCTAATGATCACGCAGTGTTCCACGGGCCCCGTCCTACATTTTTCAGCTTGTGTTCCAGCCACTGACTCTACAGCCTTGAGCAAGCTTTGCCTTCTTTGAGCCTTACCTCCTTATCTGTAAAAAAAAACAAAAACAAAAAACAGTGGAAATGGAAACGCTGCAGACTCTTCCTGTCCACTGTGTCCTCAACTGTAACTGCAGAGGACCAACCCCTAGACGGGAAAGAGAGTCACAGCACCTGCTGAGGTTAGGCACTGAGGTAGGAAAAGTGACACTCCCTTTGTGCCAAAAGACACCAGGTGAAGCCTGTCAAGAGGACCCCTTTGTTCCTGATCCAGCCTCCGTGGTCTGTCCCATTCTGAAATGGAGGCTTTTCCCTCCTCCTCCTCACAGTGAAGACACAGCCCTGAAGGCCTTCTGTCTTGGCTCCTCTGTGACTAAGCACTTTTGGAGCCCAAGCCCAACCCACCCAGATCAGCAGAGTGCTGAGTCATGGTGGGGCAGCAGCCTTCCACCACCACCTTCACCACCTCTTCACAGCCCTGCTCACCACCAGCCCCCTCTCTGCTCTGGAATGAGCTGGGATCCTCCAGAAACAACCAGTCTGGTTCTTATGTGGCCTGCAGGCCCTCCCTCTGCTCCTGGCCCTGGGAGGCAGCTGTCCTGGGAGGCCAGCCAAACTCCCAGCCTCTTCGAAGTCACGAGGAGCCACAGTGGGAGGAGGGTGGGGAGTCAGAAGCCTGGTCAACAAAGGTCCAAAGACCAGGCCACGTCTTTGGAAGAATCTAGAGGATTGGAGATGGCTTGTAGTTCTGACACCCAGGGTTTGCAAATGTGAGCTGGAGACCTAAGCTAAAGCACACCGGAGCACAGTTTCCCTTCCATCCTTCATAGCTGGCCTACCTCAGTAACCTTCCACAGCACAAGCTGTCCCTGGTTTTGCTATGCTCTTTACTGCAGCCACGTGTGTGTTTTAATAAGCATGGAGCCATAACTGATTTCTGAAATTCACTTTTTACAGCAGACTGACTTCCTTCCAGTGGGTCCAAATTTATACTGGCTCTATCCACCTAGATGTCCTGAAATTCAGCTCATCCAGCTTCCCAACAGCCTTCCCCCAAAGCTGCATTTCCTCTGTGCTCCCTGGCTCAGTGATTGGCACGAGCCATCCAGCTACCCAGGCCAGAAAGCTATGCCAGGGGGCTTTCTTACACATTCCCCACCTCCTAAGCCCCATGTTATTCAATCAGCCACCTCACCCTGTGTGTTCTGTCTTCTCCATCTTTCTCAAATCTGCTTTCTTTTGGAGGTGTAGGGCCATTGTCCCCCAACTAATACCTAGCCCTCTCCCCTGACTGCAGTTCATCCTCCATATTCAATCATACATCCATCTGTTCACACAACAAATACTGAGCACCAAGTAACAAGAACTTGCAAAATGCTGGGAATGCTGGAAACACAGGGACAAAGGCAGAAGCAATACCTGCCTTCCAGGAGCTCACAACCTGTAGAGGTAGGGAAAACCTCCAAACATCCCTTACAGAAAGGTGTGATTAATATATGTGTATAATATAGCCGGGTACACCGGCGAGTGCCCGGACTCCCAGCAATCAGGGGGCTGAGGATCTTTCAAGCCCAGGAATTCAACATCAACCTGGGCAACACTGTGACCCTGTCTCAAAAACAAAACAATGGGGCTGGGGATGTAGCTTAGTGGTGGAGCACTTGCCCAGCATCCACAAGAACCTGAGTGTGACCCCCAGCAATGAAAAGAAAAATAAAAGCATATGGCACAGAATCGTACCTACAAATATATACTATGGTTTTTGATCTTGTTTAATTTACAAATAACATCAGCCCAATTTGTCACTTCTATTTTAACTTTGTTTCTGTCTTTTGTTTTAGGGTTTTTTTTAAGTACTCAAATCTGCCAACTGTCCTTTCACGGCTTCCGGCAGCTTCAGAGGTACATTCCCTGCACCAGAACTGTAAAAGATAACCTTCTATAAATTCTTCTCCAAACTTTGGATGTTTTTTCCTAAGGACTAGACTTTTAATCTGGAATGTATTTTCAAATACAGACTGAATCATTTTTTCACATGATTGTATCAATTATTGCAACATCATTTGTTGAACTCATTCTTTCTCCCCTAATTTTGAATCCCTCCAAGTGCCCATACATAAATGCGTAGGACTGTTTTGTTCCATTGATCTAGTCATTTCCTGTGCAAGAACCACATTGCTTACCTCATTGCGATATATATGTATATTGTAATTTATAAATAAATCAGGGAAACAAATCAGTCCTCAGACTCTCTTATTTTTACCAAGTGTTTTTCAGCTAGTCTACACACTGACTCCTCCAAATAAACTTTAGAATCTTTTTTTTTTTGGGGGGGGGAGGCTGGGGATTGAACCCAGGGCTTTATGCATGTGAGGCAAGCACTCTACTAACTGAGCTATATCCCTAGCCCTAGAATCATTTTATCATTTTTTTACCACAAAATATACTGCATTTTATGGAAACCGCACTGAATTTATAGGGCTTTTTCTGGGAGAAGTGACATCTTTACAAAATGGAGGCTGACCATTAAGGAGATGGTGCTTCTTCCCTTATACTAGTTGGTTTTTGGTTTTTCCTAGTCCAGGAGTAAGTAGTATACGTAGTTTTCATCATACTGAATTTTATCCCTGGGTACTTCAAACATCTGTTGCTAATGTATCTGAAGGTTTTTTCTTTCATTCATCATCTCTTTCATTACATTTCTCTCACTGATGGTTTTTGTTATATAGGAAAGCTTTTCATCTCACTACTTTCCAGGCCAACATACTTACTTTAGCTACTTTGAACAGGTCATGCATTTCCACACCTTCACAACTTGGCAAGGCTGTTCCCTCTGCTTGGAATTCTCTTTCCTATCTCTCTCTTCCCCTTGGCCTTCCAGTAGTAACTTTTTCTTCAAATTTATCAAAGCTCAATATCATTCATAGGGAAGACTTCCCTGACCTCCTATCTCAGGTGAAGTAAGGCACCTCTTGGCCAGCATCCTTCTCCTGCTTACCTTTATAACTCTCGTGCTGGTAAATTATTTTTTTTTTCTGAAAGCAACATACTTTGTTTTAAGATGAATATGATAAAGATCTGAGAAAGAGTCATCATATTTCTATCTGCAACTTGTTTTAATGTTTTAGTAGAGCTGCTTAGAAAGAAAGAAAGAAAGAAAGAAAGAAAGAAAGAAAGAAAGAAAGAAAGAAATGTTTGGAAGTCCAGCTTACAGTTGCAAATGTGTGAATATCCTGAAAAAGGTCTTCATGGGCCTCCCACTAGGATCAAAACACCTGACTTGAGACAAGTAAACATGGTGGAATGCAGGACTTATCTAGGAGAGGTGGTCAACCCTCAGTTCAGCTACCCACGAATGTACATCCACTTTGTGCCGGAGATACAGCTGCAAGCCACACACGGTGGTTTTGCCCTCTAGAATTTCTTGGATCTGTCACCTGCCAGTCAGCCCCATCAGCTTTTCTCCAAGGACAACTAGAAAGGTGACTGGGAAGATAAAAGGCCATTTCAAAATGGCCTGAGCATCAGCTCCTTTTCCAGATCCAAATCACTTCTCCTTTCTTTAGAACCCGGACATCGTCTTCGAGCTTTGAATGTCACCAGAGATTTTCTCAGAAACCCAGGTGGCTCAGCCCCAGACTCAGGGGGACTCCCAGAGGAAGGCGGTCTCTCGGGAAACACGATCCGCCCAGCCTTTGTTGTTTAAACTGCACCCGGAGCCATATTTGCTTTCAGCAAAAGGTGCCATGTCGCTGGGATCAGAAGGCTGGGTCAGGCCCGAGAGAGCGGCTGCGGGCCCCCACTTCGCTATTGTGCTCCTTCCTAGAGTTGGAGGAAGAGAAAGTGTGCCCTTTCCCATCCCGATACCTGACTCACCCACCACCCACAGGCCACGCTTCCACCTCCCATTTTCCACTTGCATTACGAGGTAATTACCTCGGGGTGTGGAATCTGCTTCCCTACGGCCAAGATTTTTAACACCATGCCCTTGGCCAAGTGCCTAGGGGTGTTGGCTTAGGACTTGGGAAGCACCCATTCTCTCGCCTTCTGCCTCCTTGGTTCCAAGACCCAGGGCTCCACGGGAGCCGGGGCCCCAGGATGGGCTTCCCGCCCCTCCTCCAGTCTCCTTTGTAACCCCACTAAGAGGACCCTAAAAGCTCAAAGACGCCTCCCCTCATTGACTGGGGAGCCCAGAGAGTGCCCCGCCGCAGGCTCAGCCAGAACGCACCACTGCCCGCAGGGATCACGGAGGCCCAGACCCGCACCCCAGTACCCCTGTCCCCGCCCGCGGCGCGCGCCCACAGGAAGGGGCGGGGCCCGGCAGGCGGGCTGCGCTGATTGGCCAGGGCCGTCCCGACGCCGAGACCCTTATAAGAGCCGGGCGGGTGCCGTCTGCGCCAGACGTTCTTCGCCGAGAGTCGCCGCGGTTTCCTGCTTCAACAGTGCTTGGACGGAACCCGGCGCTCGACCCCCACCCCGGCCGCCGCTCAGAGCCAGCAGCCCTTCGCCACTTCTTCACAGCGCCCTCGGACCGCCCCAGGCCTCCGCCGCCGCTCCAGCGCCGCGCCTCTCCTCAGCCGCCCGCCATGGCTACCACGTCCCCCTCGCAGGTGCGCCAGAACTACCACCAGGACTCGGAGGCCGCCATCAACCGCCAGATCAACCTGGAGCTCTACGCCTCCTATGTCTACCTGTCCATGGTGAGCGCGGGCGGGCCTGCGGCGGGGCGCGGGCCGGCGGGCGGGGGTGTGGCCAGCAGCAGGCTTCCCCGCCTCCGTGCGCCCTTCTGGAAAATGGAGGCTGCGCGAGGTCTCCCAGGACTTGGCTGGCGCAGAAAGTCGGGCCCTTTCCAGCAGTCCCTGGGAGGGCTCCCTCCGCGACGAGGCCCTCCTCTGCAATCCCCTCTTAGAGACTGGCAGCCGGTACGATCGGCCCAGCGGTTAGGAAACTGGGTTTTTGCATTCCTTTTTCGACCGCCACCGCCGATCACGTGACTCGTAGGCCCTCAGTTTGCTGGAGTGCCCAGCTCCCAGCCTCCTGCTGAGTAAGGGTGTCGAATGGCAGCAGCCTTGGGGTTGATACAAAGTTGCTTATCTCTTGTGGGTTTACCCCGGCCCCTTTCTGAACAGCGGTCTCCACCTCTCTGTTCTACTTATCTCGAAGACCCACTTGTGTTGAAGCATTATCGCTAAAAATCTCCCCTTCTGCAGTCATGGAAGTGTCACCCGACCTTGAGCCTTGGAATACTTGCCTCCGGGTGCTTTCTTCTTTATCCTTCTTGTGCCAGAGAGTCGTGGAGTTGTGGCCCACTAATTGAACCTGTAGTTCCTGGATAAAGTCCACCAACAGTTACTGAGCAAGGAAGTTGTTCCCACAGTGGAATTGGTTTGCACCTTACTTCAGGCTGAGTGGTAGGAGTTAGTGTTTTAAGACTGGAAATCAAATTTTTTATTTCTGCTGGTAATAGTAGTTATAGGTAAATATTGTCCTCAGTTGTCATGTGGCACAATGCTTTAATATTATAAGTCAGCAATGTACTGCACAACTGGCAAGCTCTAGAGCTTGTTTTAACATGTAATCAGGACGGAACGGAAAATGGGCTGAAAGTACAGAGTCAATACTCCAGCAATCTAACTTTAATCATATTTGGCTCTGGCTTAAGAAATTTCCTCTACACTAATACAGATCCTGAAGACATTCTGCTGCAGTCAGTTCCTATGATACTCTAAAGGAACCTTGAAGTCATAAACTTTCAAGGATCAAGTTTCAATTTTCTGTTTTAGAATACAAATTAATTACTGTTGAGTTAACCCAGGAACACTTCTGCCCCTAGTCTCCTAAGGCACCGGCCTCTTATAGCTGTGCTTTGAGAAAGAGAGGCTTTGGTAGCAGCAACCTTTTCTACCTACTGGTACAGCTTCTTTCTTGTGGGAATCCTTAACATATGTGTTCACATTCCACTTTCAGTCTTACTACTTTGACCGTGATGATGTGGCTTTGAAGAACTTTGCCAAATATTTTCTTCACCAATCTCATGAGGAGAGGGAACATGCTGAGAAATTGATGAAGCTGCAGAACCAACGAGGTGGCCGAATCTTCCTTCAGGATATCAAGGTGAACAAAAGGTCTTAGGGGTGTCCTACAGCAGTTGCCCTTAACTTAAAAAATGATGACATAATGGGCTTTGGTTTTTTTGTGCCTTTTTAGATCTGCCATTTCAACTAAAGTAGGAAAATAGTAGTGGGTTAGGATGTTAAAGCAGAAGTTGTTAAGGCACCCAAGCAGGATGGTTAGGTGTTAGGAATATGCTGGTTTGGGGGCTGATTGGTAGAGACTACAGATGAATTGACCTAACCTCCTCTTATTCAGAAACCAGACCATGATGACTGGGAGAGTGGGCTCAATGCAATGGAGTGTGCTTTGCACTTGGAGAAAAATGTGAACCAGTCACTTCTGGAACTGCACAAACTGGCCACTGACAAAAATGACCCCCACGTGAGTATTGGAAACTCAGGGGATAAGTGGAAGAAATCACTGACCATTGGCTGGGAAAACTAACCAGTAATTTCTGATTCTTTTTCTAGTTGTGTGACTTCATTGAGACTCATTACCTGAATGAGCAGGTGAAATCCATCAAAGAATTGGGTGACCATGTAACCAACTTGCGCAAGATGGGAGCCCCAGAATCGGGCATGGCAGAGTATCTCTTTGACAAGCACACCCTGGGAGACAGTGATAACGAGAGCTAAACCTCAGCCTGACTTTCCCATAGCCGTGCAAGTGACTTCCCTGGTCACCAAGGCAGTGCATGCATATTGGGGTTACCTTTACCTTTTCTATAAGTTGTACCAAAACATCCACTTATGTTCTTTAATTTGTACCATTCCTTCAAATAAAGAAATTTGGTACCCAGCTCTTGTGTTTGAAATTGTGGGATGGGCCAAAAATCTGTTTTGGCAATCTTTCAGATTCCCTAAGTGTCAATCACACTAAACAAATACTTAGAAGAATTCTTGTATTTATTAGACTCCTTAGTTGAGGAAAGATAACAAGGTGTGGGTGTGTTGAATTCAAATAGGACTGAGGACTCATGGTTTTGAATTACATGTTTCCAGTGGTTCATTCTAGTTTATACATTTTTTAATATTTATTTCTTAGTTTTCGGCAGTCACAACATCTTTGTGCTGAGGATCGAACCCGGCCGCATGCATGCCAGGCAAGCACGCTACCACTTGAGCCACATCCCCAGCCCCTAGTTTATACAGTTTTTAATGTATTAAAGGCTGTAGTAGTCCTGGACTAGTTACTTGTCCATTAAGCCAGCCATTTAAATCTGGCTGTCATGGGAACATACTCTAATGTGGACAACTGTGTGGGCATGACTGGATCAGTGTCCCGCTGATTACAGGCAGGTGAGGACCAGGCTGTGAGGCATCCCCCTTGGGAGATAAGCTAGGAATATAGTTCATCCCTATTGAAAAATTGAGAAAGTTGATGAGTATGGAAGGTACGTAAGACTAAATTTTAAGCCACAGATGATTTATAAAAATCCCCTATATACCCCTAGAAGCAAGGCCAAAATTGTTGCCTTATCCCCCCCCCCCCTTTTTGGGGGTTTTCAATAAAGCTGGGTGTTCTAACCATGAAAGAAACTGCTTGAGAATATAGAAATGGGAAGCTAGACTTCCTCTTCGTGTGATTGAGGCTGGAGTAGGATGTTTCTAATTGGGCAAAAATATTAAAATCTAGAATAAAGGGAAGTATCGTGGGTTGGTAACAACTTGAAGCTTAAGGAAGCATGAAACTGGGACATAGTTCAGTGAGGTCCCCAAAGCAGTAAGATACAACTCATGGACCTTGGATCCTGTCTCCTCTATTCCCCCAATAAACTACCATCTGCCAGTTCTTGGGATAAGGCAGCACCCTTTCTTCCAGTGATTGGGTCCTAGCATGAAGGCCTCTGGGAAAGTGCTCATTTGCCACCTCCTAACTGGGCAGTAAGTCAAGTTCTTGGTGATAGTGGAGAGCCCAGGTTCAGCCTCACAGTATTCTATCAGCCACCCCTGGCCCATCTAGGCCTAATCTGCCAACCCGCCCCCCAGCATCCTTGTAAGTGTAACTTCATATTCTTTCCGTGAATCCCAAAGAAGTCTTCTGGTGACGTCAAGCTCCTGGATGAACTGAGTATAAGCACCCGCCCACAACACTTCGGGGTTCCTGTGCATACTCCCAGCTAGTCAGGACTTCTATTCTGACAGTAATGAAACCATGGGAAGCTGCTCAGAGCAAGGGAAGCTGGGGTAGGGAAGAGGGATGCCATGACCCTGGTTTGGGTGAACAGACCTGTTTTCCAAGGTGTGAAGGGGAGCTGCGGGATCTACAGGATCTTCGAGGATTGTGTGTATATTGCTTGTCAAGCGTTGCGAATGTCTTTTGAGATGACCTTCAGGGATCTTTGGTATGTCCTTCAGGTTAAACTCAACAGTTTTCTTCCTTGCATGATGTACTTCTGGGTGCTCCCTCAAGGCCCCATCATCTGGGAGCGATTCAAAATGGTTCTTGGCCCCAGAAGTCCCAGGCTTTGGGCTTTGGTCATTTGTATCAGTGCCTGTGATGCCATGTAGCCCAGAGGGTGCTGACAGTTCTGGAAAGACCATGGGCGTGCGACTGAGGGGCGTCTGTGGGGCACTGTGGTAGCCTGGCCTCTCGTAGAGTGGAGCATCCCTGAAGACATCTACCACCTTGAGCTTCCAGGCCTTGGTGTCTTCCTGTTCCCCAGGGTTCTGTTTGTCTTTACTGGGTTGACTCTCGTGGAGGTAGGGCTTCCTCTTGGACCATAGTAGTTTGGTCTTGGAGTTTGTCCTGGGAGGGTGGTGGTCATGGGATTGCAGCCCTAGGAGGTGACTAATGACACCTTGATGATCATGACCAAGGATACCATGGTGAGTGTCCTCCTCGTCCTCCTGATTTGGCTGAAACTCCATCTCTTCTTTCTGCAGACTGGAAAAAGACACTAAGGGTTGAGTAGGGGGGTCAAAGGACCCAGGCCTGACCTTTCCTTCACCCCCCTTTGTCCCTCTCTCTGTCCCAGCCTTCCTCGCCTCTGTCCTAATCTCTCCTGTACCTCCCAGTGAGTCTCAAGGCCCTGGAAGTTCTTCCGCTCCCTCTCGCCTACTGTTACCATCCAGCCCCCTCCTCCAGCCTGGCATCTAGGGACTTCCTCTTCACCACTGGCTCCTCCCATTAAAGCCTCTTCCTCTACACCATCAGGACAACTGGTCCTCAGTAGGGAGCTTCAGATGAGGCCTAGGAGGGACTACAGGCAAGGCCAGGGAGAGATGTTCTCAACCGCAGAACGTCACCCACCAAGAGACAAGTCTGGCTTCCAGCAGCTTCTTGGGGGGCCAAGACCTTTCCTTTGCAACAGAGAGCTTACCTAGGCCAGACTGGGGCTGGCCTTTCCTGCCACCAACTTCTCCCATGCCCCAAGGCTTAGCTTCAGGCAGTCAAAGGTGACCTCTGTTTTCCCAGGCAGGTACCCAGAGTTTTGGTTTGGGGTTTGAGCTCCCTTCGCTAAGTGAGTATTCCTTGTTGTTTTTCTGTCTATACCTTCCCCCACCCTGGCCTTTAAATGCAGGGATGCAGAAAATGTAGGGCTCAAGTTCATCCTCCAGAAATCTTCCTGAGCAAGACAAGTCACCAGCTTTCACCCTTCTTCACACTAATTATGGACTCCATCCTAACTACAGCCTAATAGGCTATTTAGTTCTTAAAAGAACAAAAGGAGAACAGTGCTGGATACTGCGGAAAATGGCCTTAATATGGATCCCAACATGAGCCAAACACTCTCCAAAGCCGTCTCTGTCACCCAGGGGCAGAGGACTTTCTGAAATGGCCCTCCAGCCCACAGCAGCCAGGAGAGATTCAGACCATTGGGGAAATGAGACTGTACAGGGGAAGCTTTGGTTGCTGTGGGCGGCCTGAGGATTTTACTCGTAGGAGAACCTACTCAGGAAGTACCTGTTATAGCCTTGCCTTCTGCCTGGACATGCTTGCTGCCCCTCCCCTATCCCAGAGAACCCCACTCCACTGTCCACCCAAACACCCTAATTTGTTGAAAAAAAAAAAAAAAAACAGATCTGGTTAGAGCAAGGAAGTTCTAACATCCCCACTGCATCACTGATCACCGGCTGCTCCTGAATAAATCCCTTTCCTGTCAGCTTCCAGCCCAGACAAGGAAGGAGAGAACCTAAGACCAGAGGTTCCCCAGAGCCCTTCTCGCCTAAAGAGCCTTTCATAGCTCAGTTGAGAGTGAAGTGCAGAGTGGAACCTGACAACTGGCATAGACGTGCCCTTGGCTAGTTATGTGACTGTGGACTGGGCAACTTACTTAACCCCTCTGAACTTGTACTTGATTATCTGAAAACTAACAAAGCAGGATTATTGGGAAGAAAAAAAATAGTTAATATCTCTACAGAATGCAGTGTCCCGCCTAGCCCTGTTAGGCACACAATGGGTACTCACAAGAGCTGTTCTAAGTTTTTAGGCCCTTGCACTTGAGATGCTTCCCACCCAGTTTCCTGGCACTGCCCACCTGATGTTGAATGTGGAGCCCCAAAAGGAGGGTCTGCGGAACTGGGAAGCAGCAGCTGTGTAGGGTGGGTGGGGTTCTATCTCATTCCAGTACATGTCCCGCTCTAGGGGGGGCAGATCTTGGTGCATCTCATCCACAGACAACAGAGACACCTGGCCACCAGGAACAGAGGAGGAAGTCCAATGGAAAGGTCAGCCAGACATGACCATGAACTTGCCTGATGACTTGGGGAAGTTACTTCCCTCTCTGGACCTCAGTTTCCCAACCTGTGAATGGAGAGGTTGATGCCCTGCAAACCTCAAAAGTTGAGGTGAGACTCTTGTAAGTGAATGGCTGGCCGCAAAGTGGGGTGTGGCAAGGGAGGATAATTCCCTGTGACGCCTCTCTGCAGAATTGCCGCGTCCCCCTCCTTGGGTCCATGGTATGAGCTCCCTTCATACCTGCAAGTGCCTGTCGATGATCCAGTTGGTCTCAAAATCATCATCATCCTCTCCAAAAGGGTTGATGAGCTGTTCTGCCACCTTGGGGATGGGTGAGACTCTGGGGACCTTCAGGTAGAGATCCTTGAGGCTCTTGCTTCCCTCCCTCAAGCCTTGGATCCTACCATTTCCACACCCCATGACACCTTTCCTGCCTGACAACTGTTTCCAATTGCCACAGCGTAGGGCTATAGCCCCCCAACATGGGGCCACCGACACGTATGCTCCTGCCCTCTAGACCCTAAACCTCTTTGATTCTCCTTAGCCAGTTCCTCCCTGAATACCTCATCTGTCCCTAACGGTGTCACTCAACTGAGTCACCACCTCTGTCTCATCTCACATATCTCATCTGGAGTTTCATAATCTTACTTACTCATTCATTTACTCATCATACCTTCAAACGTATTTATTCATGGTTTGCTAACGGAACTGAGATATATGCTGAGGCTGTGTTGAATTCGCGAGGAGTCTAGGTGTCCAGTTTCCTGGGTACTAATCTCTAAAATACCCTGACAAATTCCTCAAAGAGGTGATGAGCAGCCTTAGGGTCCAGGGGATGCCTGGCAAGGCACCGGGGCACCCTGGACAATTTCAAGCATGAAATGGTGTGATCTGGTTGGATCTTTAGAAACCAAAAGATGCAGGGGGAATAGGAGCGTGTGTGTGTGTGTGTGTGTGTGTGTGTGAGAGAGAGAGAGAGAGAGAGAGATACAAGGATAAAAAGGGGAGAAAGGGACATCCCTGCCACCATTACTAAAAAACAAATACAGAAAAGAAGAGAGGAGAGGAGAGAGAGTGAGTAGGAAACAGAATGAAAGACAAGAGACAGACATCAGTCATTCTGAGCTCCCATTAGGGGTCCTGGCTCTGGGGGAGAAGGAGCTGGACAAGAGACTTGGGGTGGGGATGCGTAAGGAAAAGGGGACTGAATGTGCCTTCTAGAGGGCACTGGGGTAGTCAGCTTCACCGCTTTTGTTGTTGTAAGCAGAGGGGACAAATCCGAGGGGACAGTGAGAAGCCTCTCCAGCAGGGCCTGCCACTGCAACCTTATCCCGTGAATCCTCCTGTTCTGGACAAACCCTGGAGAACACCCTCTGGGGCACCAGATGGTTACACTGATGGAACTTTCCCTGTGTCTCCCACGCCTGCTAAACGCTTGGCCTCAGGGAAGCCCTGGGGTCAGTCAGACCTCAATTTGGATCTCTGCTTTGTCCTGTGTAAACACACATGGGGAATGCGTGGCCCCAAGGGGGTGGCCAGCCCAGCAGCCTACCTTCCTCTTGTGAAACCCTCATCTCCCAGCTCTCCATCCTCATCCCAGGTAGCTGCTGGCCACGACCCTCTGGCCACACCCCCAGCCCAGAGGCTCACCTTCAGCCAACCCATGTAGAAGAAGAACTGCAAGAACGTGAAGACCGGCACAACAAGGTCCATCTCGTGGCCCGGGTAGGCCTTGGCCGGGTTCAGAAACTGCCGGCCAACCAGGCAAGCCAGGAAGAAGCTGTACACTGCCACGGTCACCACCTGGGAGGAGAAAATGGAGGAGGTGGCACAAGAGGACTAGGAGGGACCCCGGGATCACACTAGCGAGCCTGGGTCTGTTCTCTTTAACAGGTGTGACCACACGCCTCTACCCGGCTGGGCCAGGCAAAACCTGGATGCCATGAGCTTGGCACTAGAGAAAACTTTCAAGGTGCAGCCTTTCGCTCAGCCTCTGAGTCAGTCAGCTTCCTGGGTCCTCCTAGCCTCTGTTTCCCAAAGAGCAGCCTCACCAGTCCAGTCCTCACCTGTGTGTACACCAGCGGGATACTGATCCAGTCATAGCCATACAGCTGTCCACACTGAGTACGCAAGGTGCTCATCTCCTGAGGAACAGAGGAAAGGATGGGGTTCCGACCACAGCTTGCACCCCCAGGTTCATCTCCACTTTTCCCCCAGATACCAGCGTCTGGTTTCTTGGTCCAGTCCTGGCTGTGTGGTTATGGACAGCTCACTAAACCTCCCTGGGCTCAGTCTCCTCTTCTAGCAAAAAGGAACCAGGACCTCACAGGCTCACTTAGGGGACTGAAAGGATCTTTGGAGAAGGGCTCCCTCGGGCTGTAGAAACCTGTTGGAAAAGATCCTGCACCCCCATCCCAGGCTCTGGGAAGACTCAGGGGTTCCGGTTTTCCCTCTGTAGGAAACCTTGTTCTACCTAGGCCACAACCGTCCCCACTGTGCACCCGCCCCATCTGTGTAGTGGGCTCACATTCAGCAGGCTCTGGAGCAGGACAGGGTCCCGGATTCGACCTGTAACCCAGGCCTTTGTGGACAGGTTGGCAAACCACACCCAGGGCACCCAGAACATATTGTGTGGCAAGCTCAATTTTTCAAACTGCTTGTATTCTGCGTGGGTCATAAAGCCTGCAGAGTAGAGTGAAGAAGGCAGCAGGTGGGAGAACTGCAGAAGAGGTGGCCAGCACCAGCCAGGCCCTGCTCAGCCCTTCTTCGCCCCTTAGGCCGAGTTCCTTTGGAATCCTCTTTCTTTGAACAAAAAAATCACTGGATGCCTGCAATGTGCTATTATGGACTAAGCATGGGAGAGAGGCCTGTTATTCACCAGAGACAGGTCAGGTACGGGCAAGGGCAAGGGGGAGGCCAGAGAACGATGTTCAGACCTCCAGACTGGAAACTGGAGATCAGATCAGAAGGGCAGAGTTCCCAAGTCCCCAGCCCTTCCCTTAGCTTTTTTAGGGTCTGTGACCCTACCTCAAACCCCTGTCATCCGAGGGTATGTTCTGGCCTCGCCCTACTTTCAAGTATATGATCTGTTTAGCTCTGCTCGCAGGTCCCCGACCCAATCCTCCAGTTCAGGGAATTCTGGCTCCACCCATCTTCAGCTCCTGCCACTCCAGGTCTGGCCCCGCCCCGCCCCGCCCTGGAACTCCTGGCTCCGCCCACCTGCCTGCACTAAGTGTTGCAAAGTGGGAAAGCGCTTGTAGACCGCGGTGCTGATGCTGCGCAGCATGAGCACGTGGCCGAGGTTGACGTAGCGGATGAGCGTGCGCCTCAGCAGCCGGCCTTGCTCGTCCTTGCCCTCGACGAAGCCGGACACCTGGCTCATGATGCGGTCGGGCCACGGCAGGTTCTCGTACTGGTTCCACCAGCGGGTCACGACCAGCGTCACGTAGAAACCTGAGCACGAGGGGCGAGGGGCGAGGGGCGAGCGGCTGGGCTGTGGCCAGAGGCCAGCGCCCGGTGATACCTCGGTTTCTCCATCTTTCTAATGCGAGCGGGCCCAGCCCCGCCCTTAGTGGGAGGCTCTCGGGACAGGACGGCAGTCAGAGCCTCGCACGGAGGCGCGAGAGCCCCTCGGGTCATCTGGCCCTGGGATCCCAGCCATCCGCCACCACCCGCGCCCTCCCTCCCCGCTGCGCAAGGCTCCCAGCGCGTCCCCGGCACCGCGCCTGCAGTGCCGCGGCAGGACCGCCTCCCCGCCGCCTGACTTTAGTCTCCCTGTTGCAGTTCGCACGTGTCCCTGGCCTGCACGGAGCCACCCGGCCACTGGCCTGCCTCTCTCAGTCGCAGCTCCTCTGGGTCCGCCCTGGGTCTGTCGCGAGCTGGGGCGGCCCCGGACCCCGCTCGGCCGGAAGGGGGCGCTCACCCAGCACGAAGGAAACGGGGATGAGCTGGATGTAGCTGTCGCAGTACAAAGCCAGCTTCTCGAACAGCAGCTGCTGTTCCTCCGAGAGGGCCAGCCTGAGGGCGACACGGGGGTGTGCGCGCGCCGTGAGGAGGTGGCTGAGATGGCCGCAGGTCCAGCCCGGGCCAGGGCCCACCTCCGGCCTGAGCCAGGACAAACCCCGCAGGCCCCGGAGGCCCGCTCGGATGGTCTCCTGTGAGAATCCTCACACCAACCCCCGGCTGAAGGGAAGGAAGGGCTTGCAGAGGGTCAGTGTTAGGCATCAGGGACCCTTGTAAAGGGCCAGTTGTCAGGGCCAGTTGTTTAAAAGCAAGTTGAAACTGAGTGGTCTTTTTTAAAAGTAGGATGGGCCAGGTGTAGTGGCGCAGGTCTGTAATCTCAGTGACTCAGGGGGCTGAGGCAGGAGAATCTCAAGTTCAAGGTCAGCTTCACAACTTAGGGAGGCCCTAAGAAACTTAGACCCTACCTAAAAATAATTAAAAAAAAATAATGGGGCTGGGGATGTGGCTCAAGCGGTAGCGCGCTCGCCTGGCATGCGTGCGGCCTGGGTTCGATCCTCAGCACCACGTACAAATAAACATGTTGTGTCCGCTGAAAACTAAAACATAAATATTAAAAAAAAATCTCTCTCTCTCTTAAAAAAAAATAAAATGAAAAAATAAAAAGGGCTGAGGATGTAGCTCAGTGGGTAAGCCCCTTGATTCAATCCCTAGTACCAATAAATAAATACCAACCTTTGTTATGAATATAAACTTAAGAAATTTAGGGGCCTATTATATATAAGGCTCTGAGTTCCATCTCTAGTACCATTAAAAAAAAAAAAAGACTTTTAGGTATTTGATATTTTTCAATCCATTGTAATCATTAAAGTTTTCTCAACTAAAGTGCTATCATATATTCTGCATATGTATCTGTCCTACATTTTATTGTTTAGATGAGCATTTTTTATTGAAATATGTATATATATGAACTGTGTAAGTGTGTGTGTGTGTGTGTGTGTGTGTGTGTGTGAGATGTGTGGCACTGGGAATTGAACCCCGGGCATCACTATGCTAGGTGAGCACTCTACTGAGCCACACCCCTCTCCCTTCATCTGATTTCTTTTCTCTTCCCAGGCCCCAGCTCCAGCCCCCAGGTACTGGCCAGGACCTCAGTTCAGATCCATAGTTGACTGGCACGTATGCTCCCTAGCACACTGGAAGGGCCCAGCAGAGTTTCGAACCTGTCTCCACCCTCCCAGGCCCTGGCCCGGCCCTGGCCCCAGCCCTGCCACCTGTACCTGTAAATGAAACGGATGGTGTAGTAGCAGAACAGGAAGATGAAGAACTCTCTGTAGAGCAGCTTGTAGATGCTGCCACGCCAGCACAGCAGGAGGCGGGAGAAGGAGCCCAGGCGGGCATTGGCCACTTGGCTGGAGTAGGTGATGGTCATGGCCAGGCACTGGGCTGCAGCAGGTGGGCGTGGGTCCTGGTGGGCAGGCAGAGAGAGTGCTGATGGGGTGGGTGGGGAGGCCTTAGTTGGCTCCTGTCTGGGACTCATGCATGATCTTAGCCAGGATGCTTCCCTGCGTGGGGCCTCAGCTCTCCCACCTGGACACTGGGAGCAGGGGAAGGGGATCATTTTCAAGGGCCTTCCAGCTCTGACTGCCTTTGGGAGGTGGGAACCCAAGAAAGTGAGCCCAGAGGCTGCCCCTGACCTTGGCAGAGAAAACAGGCAGGTCTGTGTATTAAGGGCATATGCCCTTAATTTTGCACAGTGACAATAACAACAGCAATGTCCACACACTGAGCTGGGCATTGTTCTGAGCTCATCTTGTTCCCTATGCTCCCTCAACTACCTGGAATGAGAAATAAGCAAGGGACCCAGGCAGCCCAGTCCACTGCCAGTGACCCTATTCCCAGAACAGAGCCTGATTGGCAAGGTTGTTCCAATTTACTGAATGGTTGCCCCAGGGCCTTTCCACCTGCTGAGCCAGTTGCCTGGGGGATGCTCTTCCTGAGGGAACTGCCTGACTCATTCCCACTTCATGACATCTCAGCAAGGATGTCCCCGGCTATCCTACTAGAAATAGTGCCTCACTGCCACCAGCAATGTGCTCCCAGCTTGTTTGATTTTTCCACCTAGTATCTATCCCCACTCAAATATAAATTATACAAGATACCTGCTGCTTGCTGCCTCTTTCTTCCTCCAAATGGAAGCTCCTGTGTTGTTCTCATAGCAGGTGCTCAATAAAACTTTATTTGAAGCAGTGATTGAATCTCCATCCTCCCCCACTTGTTCTGATGCAGCTACAAACCATGTCTCTGTGCCTGGTGCACACCAAGCTCATTCCCCACCTCAGGACCTGCAGAAGCCCACACACCTGCACTTGTACTCTGTGTACAATCATCCACCCTGTATTCCCTCAAAGCCCCAGCCCTGTCCACGTGGGGCACCCCCTACTCACAGGTGGGGCTCCAGTCTGGTCAGACGATCCCTTGTAAAGCTCTGGCCACTGGACTGGTGGGACTGAGACCCTATAGCCAGTGCCCCTGCCCACACGGGGAGGCTGGTACTGCCCACATACATGTGTGCTGAGCGATCACCTGACTCCCTAAGCCATGGCCTCCACAAAGGAGTCCTTGTCTCGGCTCCTCCTTGTAATCTGCTCAGAAGCAGCAGCCCACTCAGCCTGGCCAGGTACCTCTAATTCCTTCCTGCGGGGGTCGAGCTAAGAGCCGGAATCTGGGGCAACAGTTCCTGTACCGTGGCCCTAAAATCCAGAGGTTGAGGGGTCTGCTCCACTTGCAGCCTGACCCGTGAGGTCTTGCAGGGACCATGGGGACAGTGCTGAGCTTCATCTTCCCTTTTCCAGGCTCTACCCAGGGAGGGACCCTCTATCCAGGACCCGGGGAGCTTTGGCAACCCTGAGGGCTGGGGAAAGAACACTGGGCTACCATCACAAGTCCTGACTTCTAGCCCTGGCTCTGCGGTGACCTTTGTGGTGACCCTGGATAGGTCTCTGCTCCTCTTTTGCCTCAGCGTCCCTGTCTGAAAAGGGTGGTGTTGCGCTGGAATTTCATCACCTCAGTAAGAGTGACAGGATTCTGCTTATACTGGTGAGGAGTTCTGATTGGCTGCTGGTGACATCACAGGCTGTGATTGGTTGGCAGGATCTGTTAATAGGTGCGTAGTTGCAGCTAGGGAAGGAGGTGGGGGCTGGGAGCCCATGAGTGGAGACCAGGCCTGGGGGGAGATGACAAAGCCATCCTGGTGTTTATGGGGCTGGCTTCTAGCCAGACTGTGCAAAGTGGGAGCGAGTGCGAGCGACTGCTCAGACCCCCAGGGGCAGCTGGTTAGACTCTCAGCAGCTGATCTGATACATTTTAATACATTAATCCATTCCGAGGCTCCTCTGAGCCTCTGGGCATGATGGGTATCTACCCAACATACTCAGATTAGATTACTAAGGGAGAAGAGCAGAATTCCAAGCAGCAGTGGCTCTTGATCTTCAGTGGTGACAAGAATTGCCCACTGTTCAGTAAATAGGCAAATCTCAGGATCTTTCTCCAGAGGCTAACCCTGTGCCCTTGGGATGTTACATTTTTTCAGGTACTGAGGGAAGCATGATGTGAGTGGTCCTGGGACCACACCTCCAGAAGCCCTGATTACAACATGACCTTGAGTCTTAAAATAAATCCACTCTCCCTTCCTTCCTCCCCTTCCTCTCCCCATGCCCTGTTGCCCCACCTCTCAGACTTTACTCCCTAAGCAGTAACTACGCTGAGCCTGCAGGAGATTTTTGTACACACTGCTTTTGCCTTGACAATTCTCTGTCCCTGATCAGAGGTTGGGGGGGGGGGAGGTAGAGGGACAACAAAGAGGACAATAAAAACCTGCTTTGCAATGACCTTGGCAACTTTTCTAATCACAGCAAACAAAGCCACATTGTTGTCATGAGAGCATCTCTAGGAGATCAGGGACAGCCTTGTAGGAGTCCTTTGCTGCCTCCTTACCTCCCCTGCCTGTCCTTGACTAAAACAGGGAAGGGAGCTGTCCTGTGTCTCACGCCTGTAATCCCAGCAGCTCAGGAGGCTGAGGCAGGAGGATGGTGAGTTCAAAGCCAGCCTCAGCAACTTAGCCCCTGTCTCAAAATAAAAAGTAAGGGCTAGGGATGTAGCTCAGTGGTTAAGAATCCCTGGGTTTAAGCCCCAGTAGAAAGAAAGAAAGAGAGAGAGAAAGGGAGAAAGAGAGAAAGAAAGAAAAAAGAAAAGAAGGAAGGAAGGAAGACCAAACAGGGAAGGCAGAGAGGTGACATGGGCCTCAGTCTGCTCTTCTTCGAAATAGGACAATAACATCCGCCCCAGTGACCAGGTGAGGATAATGAATGGCAAACCTTAGTGAACACTTCAAGCCAGTGTTCTCCTGCCTGGTGCCCATTAGCATTTCCTGGGGAACAGCTACAATCACTAGTACCTGTGCCCCACCCTACAGATGCAAACTCTGTCAGCTCAGGGGTGGTATTTGTGCAGTTTTCCGGGTGGTTCTAATGCACAATCTGGGCTGAGAACCGCTGCTGTAAGGGGTTCTTTCTCTACCTTGTATTCCTTCTTCACCGATGCATGCTAACACCCCAGAGAGAGCTTTCCACCCACCAGATGATTAATACATATATTCTTAAAGTCAAACACGTGTCAGTCGCAATGCCTGGCACCTTTAAACTCTGAAGAATCCTCCTTTGTGGACAGGTTCCTGCATCCCTTGTGGTTGCCCCTAGAGGGCGCCCTTGACTAGCTGGCTCTTGTCTGGGAAGCCTGGTCCATCAGCTACCAGCCCCAAGACTGTCATCTCCCTGACCCTGACCAGCAGCCTTAGAACCCTGAGAGGGAGCTGGGAGACACTGAAGTCCTTCCTCTCTTTCCCTTGAACCCCAGAACCTCCTGACTGTGCTGCTTCATTTTCCCTGCCCCAGAATGTCGGCAGAAACACTCACAAGTCATGGTCTCTCCCACTGGGTCTCAGCCATGAAAATGGGTACAGCTGGGCACAGCTTAAAGGCACCACAGTCACCAGGTGACCCAAGCCAAGCCTAGATGAAGGACCCCAGGATTGAGCCCTGCAAGAATTCCACAAGGTAGTCATTCAACACAGCATCTCTGATGCCCAAATGGAGCCTATTCTGTCTCCTGTTTCTGAGAATTCATAGTCAAAAGAAAACCTGGAAAACACTTAAAGAGCTCGAATGGAACTGCAAGGCCTACGATCTGTGCCCAGTACACAGGGGTTAGGGAAACTTTCACGGAGAAGGGAGCATTTGTGTTGGGTCTTGAAGCTTGTGTAGGAGTTCACCGAGCGGAGAAATATGAAAGGGCATGGGGGCATTATTGAGGAACAGTTCGGTATCACAATCTTAGCCACATTTTACAGAGGGCATTGAAACTTAAGGCATGCCTTGGTCATGGTCACACAGCTGTGAATGGCTTGGTACTGAAGTCTGACTTCTGACTTTGGATTCTGTGCTTCTGCTCCCCACGAGGACCTCAGCAGTGGAGGTGAGTTTCTGAGAGTGGAGGCCCAGGGTAATGGTCTGTCAGGGTTGAAAGGAGGTCTGAGGAATGGGGGTGCACACAGGAAACCAACTAAAGCAGAGCCCATGCTCATGAGCCCCCTCACAGAGAGCCATGTCTGGGGCCAGGCAGAGCAGAGCTGGGCAGATGGTGCTCCAGATGCAGGACGCCATAGCCTTCTCATCCAGGGCGGACCTGGCAACAGGAGCCTCACAGAGGACCTGCCTCAGCTGGACAGGTAGCAAGAGACCTGGCTTGGCCGGGGACAATGGGCAAGGGGCTCTGGGGTGGGCCAACCAGGCCTGACACTGCCTCCAGCCTCTGCCCACACCCCTCTCTTGAGCCAATCAACAAACAGGGCAGAAGCCAAGAGAGAAACGGAGGGGGCTTGGCACAGCTGGACAGGGAAGGGGTACTGCCCACCCGGAAGTAACCAAGGCCCAGAAGGCCAAAAAGCACCTGTACCCTGAAGTCAGGCAGCCCTGATCCCCGAAGGCTGGAGAGATGGATATGCAAACAGGTGGACACGTGACCTCTGGCCACTCCACAAGAGCCCCCGGGAGCAGAGGCGCAGGGCAACGATGGGACTCACCTGGTTCTGGCTCCAGGAAGCCCCGGGCTGCCAGAGACAGCGGATTACCACAGAAGAGGCCAGAGCCGGCTCAAGCAGAGGCGAGGGACGTGACGTCACCGTCACCCTCAGCCTTGAGGAGAATGCCCCAAGTGGCCCCAAGTGGCCCAGACCTCCATGGACTCTGCCCTGCTGAGTGAGGCCAGCCAGGTGAGGACAGACCCACCCTGCCCCATTCCACCCACTAGAACTGGGGCTAATGGGCAGGTGAGGAGGAGGAACTGCCCGGGGCATGGACAGCCTGGCTGCCGTCACACACCTACCACGGGTCGGTGGCCGCAGTTCCTCATTTCAGATGGGCATCTGAGCTTGACAGCTGTGAGCAAATGTCAGCGATTTCTCATCCAGTTACTCATCTTGCAGACAAAGAAATGGAGGAAAGAGAGGGAGAATGACTTGCCTGGGGTCCCGAGGAGTCAGAGGTGGAGAAAGGCTGTCGAAGGTCACTGGCTGCTCCACTGGGTTTAGCGCTGCCGGGGCATCGTGGGAGGGAAAGAAGAGAAGAAACCATCGCCTGTCCACCTCCTGGGCACTTACTGGGGGACAGGCAGTCCACAAAGTGCCTTTTAGGAATGATGTCATCTCATTGTTGGTGCATAGCCCTGGGGGATAGGTAGGGTTGTCCATCTGTGTGGACAGACTTGGGGAGGATGGACAAGGGCAAATCAGAGAAAAAGTAAGCCACACTGCCACTATGTCACATCAACAGGACCCTAAGACAGCAGCTTTAAATCGCCTTTACAGGTGCACGCCTGTAATCCCAGTGGCTCAGGAGGCTGAGGCAGGAGGATGACAAGTTTAAAGCTGGCCTCAGAAATTCAGCGAGGCCCTAAGCAACTCAGTGAGACCCTGTCTCTAAATAAAATATAAAAAAGGACTGGGGATGCGGATCAGTGGTTAAGCACCCCTGGGTTCAATCCCTGGTACCAAAAACTTTAAAAAAAAAATCACCTTTACCAGCCAGGCACAGTGGTACCCTCCTGTAATTCCAGTGACTTAGGAGGCTGGGGCAAGTTCCAGGACAACCTGGGCAACTTACTGAGATCTTGTCTCAAAATGAAGAAGAAAAGGCCTGGGGATGGAGCTCGGTGATAAAGCACCCTGGGTTCCGTCCCCAGTACCAAAAAAAAAAAAAGTTTTTAATTTAAAATTAAAATAATGTCTGGGGATATAGCTCTATGGTACAGCACTTGCTTAGCATGTGTGATTCCCCAGCATTCCAAAAAGAAAAAGAAATTGTCTTTACCTACCTCCCACGCAGATTGGCTGGCTGGGAGCGCTCTGTCCACCCCAGCCTAGAGCTATCCAGCTTAGCAGATGCAAATTCAGGACATTTGGTTAAATATGAATTACTCATTAAAAAAAAGGAATGATTTTTTTAACCCAGGGCCTCACAAATGTTACGCATGTGCTCAACCACTGAGCTACACCCCTTGGGTGTTTTCCATTCTACAATGAAAAAGTCTTTAGTGTAAATATGTCCTGCATGATATAAATTCCTGGGGGAGGGATCTAGAAGCAACAGCCTCTTCTCTGTTGGCCCCTCCATTCAGTGAATTGCTTCATCAGTCTCTGACCTCCTGCTACCATCTTCTAGAACCTGGCTTCTCAAACTGAGGTCTCGGACCCAGTAGCATCGACACTATTTGGAAACTTGTTAGAAATACAAAGTCATGGCCAGTTGTGGAGTCCCATGCCTGTAATCCCAGCCACTAGGGAGACTGAGGCAGGAGGATTGCCAATTTGAAGCCAGCCTGGGCAATTTAGCAAGACCCTGTCTCAAAATAAAAAGGGCCGTGGATGGAGTTAAATGGTAAAGAAAAAAACAACAAAACAAAACAAAA